TTGATCAGCAAATTATTTAAGTATCTTTTCAGTCTTTCTGTCAAGATTGAACCAAAAATTTTATTGTTTGAATTTAATAGGGATATAATTCTATAATTTTTAACTTGCTGCGGTTCTGTGTCTTCCTTCAGTATAAGTGTAATATATGCTTTTGACCATGTTTTGGGTATTCTCTTCTTTGATATAATTTCATTCATGACTTCTAATAGTTGAAGATTCAGTATTTCCTGGAAAGTCTTGTAAAATTCCTCTGGCAATCCATCTGGACCTGGTGCTTTTCCAACATTATGTTTTTTTAAGGCTTCTGTTAATTCCATCATCGTTATCTTCCCTTCTAAAATTGTTTCAATGTCTTTGGGTATCTGGGGTAATTTCACTTTCTGTAAATATTGCTTAACTTTTTCTCTTGAATATTCTCTTGATAATACAGTTTTCCATAGTAATCTTGTGTAATGATTTTCTTCTCCACATTTCCATAGCAAACATATCCTCCTTCATTTATTAATTGGCTAATCTTCTTGATTCTCTTTCCTTTCTCAGTTTATAGGCTAACCATCTGCCTGGTTTGTTTGTACCTTCAAAATAATTCTGTTTAGCATTTTTAATTTTTTGTGTTAATTCCTCTTTTTCCATTAGTCCCATTTTATGTTTAGTTATGTCCATTTTAATTTTAATGTCTTTTTTTTCGAGGACTTCTGTAATTCTTCTTCCAATCACTTATAGTCATCTTCCAGTATTTTCAAAGTCTTTTTCTGTTTTCTGTTTCTTTTCCTTGTATAGTCTATTATCAAGCCTCTTGTCTAGGCCTTCATCATGTTCCAGAGATTCTGTAAAGATGTATCCTCTGTTTTATTTTCTTTAAAAAAGAAAACCAATTCTTTCTCTATTTTCTGTTTGAAGTCTTTTTCCTTTAATGTCGTATTATTTAAGGTCCATCTAGATCCCCACTTTTGTCCTTTCCAAATGACTGTCATTGGGTTGTGGTCTGCCCAAGTACTTATTTCTATTTCAATTTCTCGTATAAGTAAGTAAATAAGTAAGTAAGTAAGCAAGTAATTCTGCTGACATCCATATCATATCTATTCTAGACAATGATGCATGTCTGTTTGAGTAAAAAGTGTATTGCTTATTTTCCACATTTCTCTCTCTCCATGCATCTTTTAAGTTTGCTTCTTCTATCATTCGAAATAAAGATTTTGGTAGTGTCTTTCTAGTTTTCTTTGTTGATTTCTGCATTTTATAATACAGTTGATCATTAATTATTCCATTGAAATCTCCCATCATACAAATATTAGCATAGTCCAGTTCAATTATTTTCATATGTAATTTCCTGTAAAATTCTTCTTGGTTGTCATTTGGAGCATGAATTGCAATTAAAAGTGTTTTTACATTATTGTCCATTATTTCCACCATCAAAATCCTTCCATCATCATCTGTATAAATTGGTTCTGCCAAAATTGTATCTCTAATATATAAGACCACACCTCATTTTTTACATTGTGTTAAAGACATGAATAATTTCCCTAATTTTTTTTGTTTCAATATATATTCATGTTATTTTTTAATATGTACTTCTTATAGGCAGATTATATCAATCTTTAATTTCTCTAATTTATGAAATCCTTTTTTTCTTTTAGTAGCTAAATTAAGTCCATTTATATTAATTATAATCAATTTTCTTTCCTCCATATTAAGCTTTGTAAGAGGGTTTTATTGCTCTAGTAGATCTTAGTTCTCGTTGCTCTCTGGGTACACCACCTACTGCACCTTCTTCTTTTTCTTTTTCAATTACTGCTATATACTCCTCTTGGAATTTGATTAGCAACTCTTCTTTTCTTGTGTCTTCCTCCTTTCTTCTAAGATATTCTAAGTAGAATAGCTCAGCTTTTTCAACTGTGTCGATTCTGTGTTTTTGTTCCTGCCAGGTGAACAAGAGACCTTCTGGTATCAGCCATCTGTAATTTACTCCTCTTTTAAGTAAGTCTTTAGTAAAAAATAAACATTCTCTTCTCATCTTTCTTACTCTTCTTGGTACCTGTTTCAGCACCACAATTTCTTTGTCTTTGTACTTTAATGTTTTCTTTCTTGCCATCTGCAATATCTGTGTTTTAATAATTTTCTTAGTAAATCTGATGTGAACTTCTCTTGGTAACTTATTTCTCATTGCATATCTTGTATAGACACGGAACACTTCATCCATCCCATCCATCTTCTCTTTGGTTATCTCTAATGCTTCTGCCAGTGTTTCTTCATTATTTCAGCAAGGGTTTCACCTTTTTCTTGTACATTTTGAAATCTCAGGTAAAATTCTGATCTATCGATTTCTGATCTATCGATCCTAATGGTCCATTCCTGCCCTTTTCAACTTCACTCAATCGAGTATCAATATCTCCAATTTTCTTATCTCCTTGTATATCTTCTTCAATTTTCTGAAATCTGTCCTCATATTTCATCATCATCTGTTGAATATTCTCTACTTTCTCATCTGTCTTTTCTCAATATTTGCTCAATATTCTCCATTCTTTTTTCAATCTTCTGGATTCCTTGCATAATCATCTGCAATGTCACTTCCCTCTCTTTCTCCTGTTGTAACATTATCTGTATTGATCATTGTCCTCCAGATAGTGAAGAGGAGGCTATTGGTATTGAAGAAGCTGGGGCTGTTGTCTTTCTGCTCATCTTATAATACTTAGCTATAAAAAAAGAGAGCAAAAGAAAAGGAAAAAAAAGAGAGTGAAAGCAAGCAGCTGCCATTCCAAAAAATAAAAAAAGAGGAGAAAAATCTTCAGGCACTTGTATACCTTAATCCAATTGGTTCCAGTAATATGCAAAAAGAAAAGGGAAGATGTAGAAAAAAGAACAAAAAGGATTTTTTTTTTAAGAAAAAGAGGATAAGGGGAAGGGGGGGGTTAAAAAATGATAGTCTATGTATTTCTCTTAATTAAAAAAGGAAGCAAAAATATTATATTCTAGTTCCAACGCCAAATAATAAATATAGAATATAATAAAAATATCATATTCTAGTTGAACCAACGCCAGATTCGGTGGTCGTTGTTTTTTGCCAGGTTCAATTTCTCCATTACTTATGTTCCGAGTGGACAGAATCGGAGGGCAGACGCGTTGTCTCGGAAGCCCGAGTATATCGGGCCCGAGGATCCTCTTCCTCTACGAATGGTGTTACCACCAGAATCCTTGGCTGTACTGCAAGATCCAGTAGACTTGCGGGCTCGCATACGAGAGGCGCAACGATTGGATGCGTGGATGCAGAAGAGACGTGGGGACGTCGGACCTGATTCTCCATGGCCCATTGAAGAGGACTTGCTCCGACATCGGGGTTTATTATACGTACCTACCAGGTCGTTGAAAGCTCTCATCATGACACAATGTCATGATAACCCCGCTGCTGGCCATTTTGGATTTTATAAAACCTTGCATTTGGTCACCCGGACTTTTTGGTGGCCTCGGGTTCGTCATGATGTGTTCTCTTACGTCGCTTCTTGCGTCCAGTGTAGGCAAGCGAAAGCGGTGTCGGGTGCGCCCCCTGGACTCCTCCAACCATTGCCGACTCCGGGCAGACCATGGGGAGCGATCTCCATGGACTTTCTCATGCATTTACCATCCTCGTCGGGCTTCACGACGGTACTCGTGGTAGTTGATATGCTGACTAAAATGGCTCATTTCATTCCCTGTCGGAGATTACCTTCATCCCGCACTACAGCTCAGCTATTTTTACAGCATATCTTTCATCTGCATGAACTGCCAGATAGAGTGGTTTCTGATCGTGGGGTTCAGTTTACTGTGCAGTTTTGGAAACAGTTAATGGCAGCGCTACAAGTTCAGGTGTGCTTAGTGTCAGTGCACCATCCGGAAACTGATGGCGGGACTGAGAAGGTGATTGGCATTCTTACCCAATATTTGAGGTGTTTTGTTAATCAGCGACAAAGCGATTGGGCGAAATACCTCCCATTGGCAAAATTCGCTTTTAATAACTCGCAGCACACCTCCACTCAGGTAACGCCATTTTTCGCGAATGTAGGTTATCATCCGCGCTTCTTCCCATTAACTTGGATGGATTCACTGGTTCCTGAGACACAAGATTTTCTGGAGGAACTACAAGCGGTCCACCGTTTAGTAAGGCAACAACTTGAACGAGCGAAAGAGGACTATAAACGGTTCGCAGACTGGTCACGTCGAGCACCGCCTCCGTTAGCTGTGGGTGACAAGGTGTGGTTGTCCACGAGACACCTTCGGATCGATCGCCCAATTAGGAAATTGGACCATTGTTTCATCGGTCCATTCCCGATTGAGGCGGTTATCAACCCTGTGGCATACCGGCTCACCTTACCGCGCTCCATGCATATTCACCCTGTATTCCATCGTTCTCTTTTGGTTCCTGACTCCCCGGACTGTCCTCTGCGTGCTCCAGCTGGTACGACTTCCCCATCAACGCCCCGTGAGGAGGCAGAGGTTGATGACACGGTGGTCAGTGTTACTGATTCGCGTTGGCTCAAGGGTCGTTTCCAGTATTTAGTCGGGAGGAGAGTGGATGACTCAGAAATTTGCTCATGGACTCTCATTTGCTCATGGACATCATTCGGGACTTTCATGAACGTTTCCCTAAGAAACCGCATCCGGATCGTCAGACCCGGGGGAAGGGCCCTGCGGTGAGGGATAGTGTTGTGGCTCCGGGCTTGGATTCAGCTCCTGTGATTGATATGAGTTCAAGTGAGGAGGTCATGGCAGAAAAATATGAGCCGGCCTGGCTTAGTGATTGGACTGATAACCAGGATGAGGAGATGGACGGGACAAAGGAAGACAGACCTGATGTATTAGAATTGTCAGGACCTTTGACCTCCTCTGGTTCCTTATCTGATCAAAAGCCGGGAATGGCTGACAGGGAAGTTTTGAAAGAGTCTTCTAGTGGAGATGAGAACTTGGAAAATTTGTGGTTAAATGTAAAAAATAGAAGACGGTTGAGAAGGCAAAATCAGCTGGACCGAATGAGGAGAGTGAGTCAGTAAATTAGCACGTTGCCTCAATGAGTAATAAAAGGACACAGCTGGGTTGGTACATTTTGCCAGGAACAAAGTGACTATTTGACTGAGGAGGACGTTACAGCAAGAAGCTCTGAAACTGGAGATTTATTGCCAGGACTGGTTTGCCAGACAGAGTAAAGATTTATGCTGTGGATTGAGGTTTCTGCCAGCCGTTATCTTGTAAGACTTCTTCTTGATGGTTTCTCAACCTTGGCAATGTGTGGACTTTAGCTCACAATTTCAAGCTGGAAGGAGAATTGTGGCAGTTGAGGTCCATACATTTTCACTAATATTGAATCTATTTTTTTCTCTTTCTTCCTCACCAGGGTGTTTCAGGGTTACAAGGAATACCTGGACCCTTAGGAACTCAAGGTCCACCTGGCCATCAGGTAAAATAGAAATTACTTTACTTTTTTTGAACTAAATTGTGTTTCTATTGAGTTATGTGTGTGTGTGTGTGTGTGTAGTGTAGTGTTATGTAGGATTTTACTGGTTATATAATAACTTGTGCATCAACCTTTCAATCCATTTTGAACAACCTAAAATGGATTGTTTGAATTGAATTGAACTGAATACTTTTTTTGGCCAACTATGATTAGACCTAGAAAGAATTTGTCTCTGGTACAGAAGCACTGAGTATACATGAAGAGCAACAGAGTAATAATCATCATCACAATAATTTTGTCATTCTTGCAAGAGTGTATATTGCGTTAATGAACTGATTCAGGGAAAGAGGAGTATCTGTTATCTCCCATATCATTGCAATGATGGCAGTTACTCAAAATCTATTATCACCACAATATTTTTCTACAAACCAGATCAACTGACACAAATAATAATACTCTGCACACTGACACCATTACACCGTTCACATAAATAGCAAGACAATTGAGCATTCACCAAACTTCAAATTTAAATCATGTTTGCTATACATATAAATATGTGGGAACATAGAAAGGTTTTGATTAATGAAAGAATTCATCCAACCACCACCACCACTGCTTTATCTTTCCCTCCTTAGATCTTCAGTCTTATCAATTCTTATTACATTTTTTTCTCTGGGAAAAATCCCTCTGTCCCTGGAATTTCATTTCTTTGGATAAGCAAGTTCCCCAAAAGATATTTGTGGGCCTGGATTATTTCATGAGACATGGTTGGCATTTAAAAAAAGAAACAAATGACTTCAGTTTCATCTGTAGGATGTCTGTGTCTCTCTGCCTAGTGATTTAGCAGATGTTGCTTAAAGTTGGATATGATTACAGAAAAAACACAAAAACTATTCAACTGGCTGCCAGTAGTATTTGTAGCAGTAGGTCCATTAGCTTTGTACTTGAAAAAAAATGCCATTATTCTGTGCCATAAATGTCTAGAATTCTGTTTCTTTCAAAACTAACTTTCAATATGTGCTTCTGATTGTAGGGTAATGCAGGAATCAAAGGCAAATCCTGTGCTAGATAAAAAGTAGGTGATTTTGGTCCAAAGGTGAGCACTCCTGGTTTTTCAATGATCTGGGGATATGGTACAAATTCATTTCTTTTTAAATAAAATGCAGCTGACACAATTTCTATTATTAATGCAGTATAAATAATTGTCCAGCACATTCCTATTTACTTGGTGCAATATAAGAATGAGTCTTGAGGCATATTTCTTCATGTTTGAACTACAAAGTAATCCTCACTTAACAGCCACAATGGGGATCAGCATCTACTTCATAAGCAATATGGTCATTAAACGACATCACATGACCATGATTTGATATTTTAATTTTGACTTCATTGATTTTTCTTGTCAGAATCCAGCTGTGAAAAAACAAATAGTGACTACATGACTGAGAATGCTATGATGATCATAAACATCTGCAATTTCTGAAACACTCACCTCTGACTGGAGATTTTACAATATCCTTCCTTGCCACACCTACTAAACCACTAAAACACGCCCACAGAACTAGTAAAAAAGTTTGAATCCCACCACTGAGGAAAACCTATTTGGGACATTAAGTTTTGGGATAGATGATTGCTGAATCAATTAAAAGGTATAAGCTATTTCAGTTATGGACGGCTTTCCAAGATGGTTGTTGAGTAAAGCAATGCTGGTGCCACATATTTATTTAATTAAAGAGTAATTAAAAAGAAGAATATCCATTGATTTTTTCTTAAACTGTTAATAAGCAGTTTGAAAACCAGCATTGTATTTTTGTTTAACTATCATCAGGGATTGACTGGATCTCCTGGAAACCCTGGACAACAGGTATGCAAGAGCAAATTTTGGGTTGGGGCTATATCACTAAATAACTTTATCCATTCTCACCTCTTAGTAACATTAAAAAACAATTTACTGCATCTAAATTATTATCTGTAGGGGACTTTATACAGCTTCATGTTGAGGAAACAGACACAGACACACACACACAAGCTGAGCCTGTCACATCATTTTATGCGAGCCTCTGATTGCAATTTTTGCTTCTGCTTCTTTTGTAGGGAAAAGTTGGTGATCCAGGCAATCCTGGCAATAAAGGTGCCAAAGGAATTAAAGGGTAATCCATGTTCCTTGCTGCTTCTCTTTTGCAGAGATGGAAGATTCTAATGGCCCTCAACACTGTTGTATACGTTCTTTTTCATTGTATGTATAGCAGATTTAAGAGCATGTTGGGAAGTATCTGTTTCAGTATGATTATTGGTCTCATTTATTTCTGAGTCACTTGCTGCCTCAGAAATTATTCTTACTTTTTGGTTATAAATGACTTCCTTACTTTCCATTTTATTTAAATTAAACTTTCTACTACCTTTGAGTTGCATAAATCTCTGGTTATGCATATGATGACCCCTTTAGTTTCAAAATAAGATATAGTGGGGTGGAAATAGAGATGCAATACTATGTGTTGCCTTCCAAGATAGTGCAAACAAGAAGCACACATAGAAGTACTAGCTCTAACTTTATTACAAAGTTTCATTATCATAATCTTGGAAATCTTAAAGTACCATTCCCCTTTTGGCTTTATATCCAAAATTCTGGAGATGGTCCCTTCTGAGATATATGTCATCCCCCTAGTCTTTCTATGGATTCAGCTGCCTCTTATCTGATCATTGCCTAGTGTGTTTAGCTCATCCCTTTTTCTGCTAAGGTCATTACCACATACCATTATACTGGGGAATGGAAGCATTCTTTTCAGATCAGCTAAAGTTCTCCAATAGTCTGAGTTTAGAGTAAGGGCAGGTTCATAATCAAGATGGTGGTCTCTAAAATAATCTGGGCCTAAACTCTTCAGGAGTGATGATGATTGCAAAAACTAGTAATAATCAACAATAACTATGTCATAGTAGAATATGTACCATATGATAACAATTGTAGTTTCTGAATAGTCTTCAAGGACAGTCCAATGTGAGACACATCACAAAAGTCTAAGCGAATGCTGATCAAACAAATTAATGCTGTAAAAACAAATTAATGGCAAATTAATGGCAAGTTGACAATTGTTTCATCTGGTATAATGTGGAGACAACTAAAGTGGAAAGTTAAGACTAAGTTTCCTTCAAGATTAACTGATTTCAATGCATTTATAATTATTCAATTTACTTGAAAATTTTGGGGGAAGAAGAGAATAGTTTTGAAAAAAAAATCCAAAATAAGATTGGAAACTTGTCTTCCAGATGTTGCTGATCTCTCATGCTGACTGGGACTCTTGAAAATTGTGTGGCAGCATCATCTGGATTCTTCATTTCAATAAATTTATTATCTGAGCTGAAAACATTGGTCAGCGCTGAACAATGTTCACACAGTGCCAGATTTCTCTGAAACAAATTTGCACATTTAAGGGATATTTTGTTGGTTGTATTGTTACTTTTGTTGGTTGTATTGTATTGTCCTCACTCAAATAGTCATTTTGTTCCTTTACTGACTCAATCTTCTCATTCGCTCCAGCTGATTTTGCCTTCTCAAACGTCTTCTATTTTTTACATTTAACCACAAATTTTCCAAGTTCTCATCTCCACTAGAAGACTCTCTCAAAACTTCCCTGTCAGCCATTCCCGGCTGTTGATCAGATAAGGAACCAGAGGAGGTCAAAGGTCCTGACAATTCTAATACATCAGGTGTGTCGTCCTTTGTCCCGTCCATCTCCTCATCCTGGTTATCAGTCCAATCACTAAGCCAGGCCGGCTCATATTTTTCTGCGATGACCTCCTCACTTGAACTCATATCAATCACAGGAGCTGAATCCAAGCCCGGAGCCACCACATGTGGAGAAGAGAAAGCCTAAATGAAAACTTTGGAATATTATCAAAATCCAACTGATTCCAAAGCTAAGAAAATCTCAAACTCTATATAGGATACTTTCTACAGTCAGTATATACAGTAGTTCTGTAGATTTCTGAGCATATATGGACAGATATATGCTACTAATCTTGCTATTTTGCCTGTTGTTTACAGACTTGTCAACTTGTGAACCTTAAAAAAGGAAACTGCCGTAAGTAGTAACTTCAGGCTACCAGTATCTACTATTACTACAGTACTAAAATTATCATATTTAAGAAAGCTTCTAATTTTTACTGATTGGTTGTATTACATTATTTAATCCCCAACCATACAGATTTAAAAGAAAACATATTCCTTGAGTTTACTTTGAAGGGAGACAGAACTATAGCAACCTAGCAGTCCATACACATTGGTTATAGTAGATGACGAATGCACTTTCCTTTTAAGCAAATAGAGGGAGCCCTAGATGATGACAGTGAGTAGCAGTTTTGAGCTTTATTCTCCTTTTTACTCTCTATTTTTACTTTTTAAAAAATACTCATTCTACTTTTAAATCATTTTTAACTTTTAAATTTAAAAAGTTTTAATTTCACCAATTGAGAGGTTCAGCTTTTACTCCAGCTTTTTACCCCAGCTAATAAAGCATTTAGTGAATGAGGGGGAAGTTTTCTCTACTAAGCCAACAAAACCAGCTAAATATGGCTGCAACAACACTCACATTCCAAAGCTTACCCATGATGTTCAGCCAGCTTGTGTGGACTGGGGATCTCAGGGTGGAAAGGATGCATGGAGAGGTTGGTCTTGCAGAGATACAAGATCTTACTCCAAGTTGCTAACACCCCTCTGAACAGGGGTAGGTGACATAACAGAAGACTAATTTTTCTCTCTTTATCCCATTCTGTAGGGTATATTCTCTCAAGCCAATAGAAATGTCTTTGTTCCCCGACAGACAAGGCTGCAAAAGAATATTGCTAACTTTTGGGTAGATTGTTCTGCCATCAATGCTATTCAGGCTTGAGGCCCCACTAAAGAAACTCTGTATTTGGTCAAGATTTTTATACCACTAAAATTCAGTCCCTGTTAAAGCCTGGCCAGAGAGCTAAGACAGTGAGGAAAGTCAACATTAATCTTGGGA